ACAAGTGAAATGGGAAAACATGAGTTTACAACCATAAAATCATGTGTTTACGGATGTAAACTCCCAAGGGAGTGGTCCAAGGACCGTAAACTCCAAAAGGTGTCCGTTTCAAGCCCTAATCACTTCCTTAGCCCTTGATTCGAGTCTAGCATAATCCCTTGAGTGATATAAAAACTTCAAACACCCAATGCCACCACAACCATGAGTTTACGACCATAAAGTCATGGGGGATATGGTTCCAAAACCGTAAACACACCTACACACTACCATTTGAGGAGTAAACTCCAAAGTGAGACCATAATCTCCCTTATTGCAACCCAATAGCCTCCTAGCACTCGACCAAAGTGTTTTCCACTCATTAGGATGCTTATACATGTTTAAATAATATTATAATCACTAATTGTATGTAAACATATGTCATCATATGTTACTAGGTCATTATTCAAGTCTTCGCTTGACACCGAGCACTCGACCGGCACTTCCATCGGATCCACTTGCCACAAGTGAGTTCATACCCTTGAATTAACCTTTTAAATGATTTTAGCTTCTTTTATAGGGGGGAATACAAGTTGAACTGTACAGTTATTCGATAAATCACATGTGGTTAATAACTGTATAACAACTAGACTTTTGCATGTTAACTGTTTTAATCAAATTAAGATTCTTAAATCATGTTTTCAAATTTCGTTAAAGTATGAACATCTCCTTTTAGATCATTAAAGGTTATCCAAAGTTTTCCAAAGATCGATTGTTAAAGAGATATCCAGTCGTAATGTCTTATTAAAGGTTTTCAAAGGTTTTCTTCACTTCAACTGTTTTATAAAAACCCTTTTCAAAGCTTGTTTTACAAAATGACATCAAGTCGTAAATTTCTTAAGTATAAAGGTTTTACCAAAGTTTCCCTCTATGCTTTTATTTCGTTAAATGCATGCTTATATTTGTATAATTATATAAGTAATGTTTAAAGGACTTAGGAAGGTTAGTTCGCCCTATTTCCTATTCCTTGTTGGGATGTGGTCTGGTGGGTATCGGGCATCCGTCCGAAGGTTGTTTAAACATTAATTATATATCATGTATACATATATGGACATAAAAGCTCTCTCTCTCTCTCTCTCTCTCTCTCTCTTTCTCTTTCTCTCTCTCTCTCTGTCTCTCTCTCTTTCTCTCTCTCTCTCTTTACCTTTTTCGGTAGTAAAATGGTGAAGAATTTTTTTATATTGAAAGAAGAGCTTAATACTTGGTGGCCTACAAGAGAGAGAGAGAGAGAGAGAGAGAGAGAGAGAGTCTTTTAAAAGGTCTCATATTCAAATAATATGCAAAAAGTAATTGTTTGATTAAAATGTGAAATACTAGATTGAGACGATGCCAACAACTATATTAAGTACAGTGTCCATATTGTAACACACTATTACAATGTATAATCCTAATTAGTCATAATAAATGCACTATATAGTAACGAAAGCCATAACTACATTAACTAAGTAATATTACTGTTTCTGTATATATGTTTATATATATAAAGTACCCAGATGGATAAATTACAATGCATTATTATAACACGCTAATACTAATATTTCAACAAATGAAGTCTATTTTCTTCATTATTGTTCTCGTTTCAAGCCTTGTTTCAATGGCTATTGCAATTCCAGGCACCACCACCTTTTACCAATAATATACCCGTAAGTGTTTACTCTTTGCCTTGCTACAAATGGTTAACCATTATGATTACATGATATGTACGCATATAAGCATATACATACTTTAATCTATAAGCATACACGTTTATTGAATATGGAGTAGATCTACAAGAAGTATACATATTGGAAATAAGTATTTCAGTTGCTGACATTCGTAGATTCTGTAAATAACTTTTGAAATAGCATCTGCATGTTTTTGGAGCACCCCAGAGGGAGTGATGATTTTCGCGGCAAGTGATCCTTTGTGGGATGGAGGTGCCATTTGCGGAAAGATATTCACAGTTAACTGCACCAGTGCCACAAATGCAGTCCCTCACCCATGGTATGATGGTAAAACAGTCACTGTTAAAATTATTGATCACTGTCCAAGTTGTGGCGGAGCCCTAGACCTTTCTAAAGAAGCATTTGAATTTGTTGCCAACCCTAACGAAGGACCATATAATTAACACTTGGATTATTTCTTGTTTTATTGTATTTGGATCAATAATAAGCTATGACATTTTGAAATCAACGAGAGTTACTATTACTATCTGAATAAAAAGTTTTGGATTTAAACGTAATATTTTGTTTCAATTTCGATACTTTTATAATTATTCTGAATTTGTTTCATCTTACACATTTTTCTTTATTTTGAACGAAAAACTACACTCAATGGATTATTCTTCAAGGCTACGTAACTATTCTAGATGAGATATGAAAACTAAGCCATATAGGTTAATAAAGGGAACAATGTCTATCCATAACACTCTTGAGATTTTATATTAAGTGGTAACATTTTATTCCATGGAATCTCTAACCCGAAACATAATTCATTTTTTTTCATGGATTTTTAGAATCCATTTCATCTAAATATCATTTGTAACCTTAAGAATATTTTTAAATACTAAACATGTTACATTTTTTCCATTAACACCAATCGGTTTTTTGTATGAATTGTTCTTTCCAATTTTAATTTATGCATCTTTCCTTTATTATTTATACAATATAGCAAACATACTACATGAATAAGAGGTTTCAAAGATGGAAATTGCAATAGATGCGTTTGTCGCTATGTTCATGAGTGAACGACATAGAAACAACTATGAAGTGTGCATTCAATTGGTTTTAGAATATAATTATGATATTTATGACAATGAATCAACATCACAATTCTCAAGACGACCATCCCTCACATTTCGATCGCAACTCCTTGGCCTCTACGCACAGTTCCTCTTTAAAGAAATTAATCTAACCAATACCATAACATGTACTTGTAAATAAACATTTTAAAGTAATCCACACTGAGGATACGAACACCCTCCTAATTCCTATACCACTAGTCCCATGATGAATGGCAAGGTAGTAATTTCGAAGTGTGAATAATCCGTTATGTACCACTTCCATTTCAATCTTTCCTTGAATCTACCTTTACCAACTCCGTATTCAATAATTGTCATGCAAGAATTCAACAATGTATTTTTTTTCTATCAAGAGAATCAGCAAAGACGAGGCCACCACTATTTCAAGAAGTTTCTATCGCCACATTTTTCAACCAAAACTTTGGTATCACCACCTTTTCCAACTTCTTTAGATATCAATGAGAAGGAATTAATATCAATTTTTTTGAAATACAATCTTACCACCTCTAATCCTATCCAACTATGTTATAGTCTAGTTTATTTCAAATTTTGTTGACAACTAAAACACTCTAACAATACAAGCGATTACCAAAGTATTCTTGGTACTACAATATCTAATAACGAGGGCATCATCCATGTAAAATGATGGGATATGTTAGCTTATTGGTCATTATTTTTAATTTCCTTTAATACATGATTCCATTTGATATTCAATAGTGAAACACTAGCCCTTTCAATTACAATGATAAACAAGAAAAGGAAATCGGTTCTCCTTCCTTGAGAGTACAACTACGAATAGTTTATTTATTTAGGGAAAAATTAATAAGAATTGAAATAAACCATAAGGTCACGCTTTAATCCACTCGCGTTGAGTATCACCAAACCGCATAGGCATTATAACTTGGACAAGAAATATCAAGTTTCTATAGTCGTAAGCTTCTCTATTTCTACTTTGTGGACCATCGCGTTCCTTTTCCTATATTTACTCCAATTTAGAATTCTATTAACAATAATTGGCTCACCCTTTGCATTCATTTAATTATCAATTTTTTTTCTTCATCGCTTGATGCAACGACGCTCTCCAAGTTAATGTTAAACTCAACCTACTATATAATGAAGATTTGAATTTTGTTACATCTTATTCTTATTTTATAAATACTTCGCAGAGAATCCGGTCGCAACTAGGGTTCAACCTTTGGTGTCGATGCATCTTAAAGAATTTGGTAGCGACGATATATATATATATATATATATATATATATATATATATATATATATATATATATAATTTGGTCATTGTCATGATTCCTAATTTGATCTATATGTTTCTATTGTGTTCATGAAATACTTCTTATAGGTTTATATTTATATTATCATATTTTGGTTATTTTAAGAGTAAATCATCTTATTAGTTTTCAGAGTTTAATCAAAATTATTTCAATTAGGTGGATAACTATTTTTCTAGTTTTAATTTTAAAATAGACTTTACATGTTTGGACTTAAATTTATACTCGTTTAAACATTATATGCATGATATATATTAAATTTGGGTCAATGTCAATGTTGCACTTGCAATTATATTCGTTTAAATAATCAAGATATATATACCCTCATGAAATTTTAACCTAGTAATGTATGTCTAGGTTTACATATCTTTTACATGAAAACATTTACTAATTCTTTAATATCTATAAAACACAAACAAAACTATTTTTTTCAAATATTAATAACAAGTAGGACAGTCAATAAACAACTATATGTTATCTACTTGATATCTTTACCTTTTTCAGCAGTATAATGGTGAAGAATTTTTTTATATTGAAAGAAGAGCTTAATACTTGGTGGCTTACAAGAGAGAGAGAGAGAGAGAGAAAGAGAGGGAGAGGAGACTTTCAAAAAGGTCTCATATTCAAATAATATGCAAAATGTAATTGTTTCATTATGATGTGAAATACTACATTGAGACGATGCTAACCACTATATTAAGTATAGTGTCCATATTGTAACAGACCATTACAATGTACAATCCTAATTAGTCACAATAAATGCACTATATAGTGACGAAAGCCATAACTATATTTACTAGGTAGTATTACCGTTTCTGTATATATGTTTATATATAAAGTACCCAGATGGATAAATTACAATGCATTATTATAACACGCTAATACTAATATTTGATGAAATGAAGCCTATTTTCTTCATTATTGTTCTTGTTTCAAGCCTTGTTTCAATGGCTATTGCAATTCCAGGCACTGCCACCTTTTACCAACAATATACTCGTAAGTGTTTAGTGTTTAACTCGCTACAAATGGTTAACCATTATGATTACATACTTTAATATATAAGCATACACGTTTATGGAATATGGAGTGGATCTATAAGAAGTATACATATTGGAAATAAGTATTTCAGTTGCTGATATACGTAAATTTTGTAAATAACTTTTGAAATAGCATCTGCATGTTATGGGAACACCCCAGGGGGAGTGATGATTGCCGCAGCAAGTCATCCTTTGTGGGATGGAGGTGCCATTTGCGGAAAGATGTTCACAGTTAAATGCACCGGTGCCACAAATGCAGTCCCTCACCCATTCCATGATGGTAAAACAGTCACTGTTAAAATTGTTGATCACTGTCCAGGTTGTGGAGGAACCCTAGATCTTTCTAAAGAAGCATTTGAATCCATTGCCAACCCTGTCGCTGGAGTTATCAAAATTGAGTATTGGTAGTTGAATTACTAATGAAGGACCATATAATTAACACTTGGATTATTTCTTGTTTTATTGTTTTTGTATCAATAATAAGCTATGACATTTTGAAATCAACGAGAGTTAGTATTACAATGTGAATAAAAAGTTTTTGATTTAAACGTAATATTTTGTATCAATGCCGCTACTTTTATAATTATTCTGAATTTGTTTCATCTAACGCATTTTCTTTATTTTGAACGACAAATTACTCTCAATGGATTATTCTTCAAGGCTACGTCACTATTCTAGATGATATTTGAAAACTAAGCCATATAGGTTGATAAAGGGAACAATGTCTATCCTTAACACTCTTGATATTTTATATTAAGTGGTAACATTTTATTCCATGGGATTTCTAACCCGAAACATAATTTATTTTTTTTCACGGATTTGTAGAATCCATTTCATCTGAATATCATTTGTTACCTTAAGAATATTTTTAAATACTAAACATGTTACATTTTTTCCATTAACACCAATCGTGTTTTGTATGAATTGTTCTTTCCAATTTTACTTTATGCATCTTTGCTTTATTATTTATACAATATAGAAAACATACTACACGAATAAGAGGTTTCAAATATGGAAATTGCAATAGACGCGTTTGTCGCTATGTTCATGAGTGAATGACGGAGAAACAACTATGAAGTGTGCATTCAATTGGTTGTAGAATATAATTATGATATTTATGACAATGAATCAACATCACAATTCTCAAGACGACCATCCCTCACATTTCGATCGCAACTCCTTGGCCTCTATGCATAGTTCCTCTTTAAAGAAATTAATCTAACCAATACCATAACGTGTACTCGTTAATAAACATTTTAAAGTAAGCCACACTAAAGATACGAACACCTTCCTAATTCCAATACCACTAGTCCCATGATGAATGGCAAGGTAGTAATTTCGAAGTGTGAATAATCCGTTATGTACCACTTCCATTTCAATCCCTCCATGAATCTACCTCTACCAACTCCGTATTCAATAATTGTCATGCAAGAATTAAACAATGTATTTTCTTTTCTATCAGGAGAATCAAAAAATGCGAGGCCACCACTATTTCACGGAGTTTCTATCGCAACATTTTCCAACCAAATATATAGTATCACCGCCTTTTCCAACTTCTTTAGATATCAATGAGAAGGAATTAATATCAATTTTTTTGAAATACAATCTTACCACCTCTAATCCTATGCAACTATGTTTTAGTCTAGTTTATTTCAAACTTTGTTAACAAATGAAACACTCTAACAATACAAGTGATTACCAAACTATTATTGCTACTAGAATATCTAATAAGAAGGGCATGATCCATGTAAAAATGATCGGATATGTTAGCTTATTCGTCATCATTTTAAATTTCCTTTAATACATGATTCCATTTGATATTCAATAGTGAAACACTAGCCCTTTTAATTACAATGATAAACAAGAAAAGGAAATCGCTTCTCTTTCCTTGAGAGCACAACTACGAATAATTTATTTACTTGGGACAAAATTAATAAGAATTGAAAGAAACCATAAGGTCACGCTTTAATCCACTCATGCTGAGTATCACCAAACCGCATAGGCATTATAACTTTGACAAGAAAAATCCAATTTATATAGTCGTATGCTTTTGTATTTCTACTTTATGGACTATCGCATTCCTTTTCCTATGTTTACACCAATCTAGGATTCTATTAACAATAATCGGCTCACACTTTGCATTCATTTAATTATCAAACTTTTTTTTCTTCGCTCGATGCAACGACGCTCTCCAAGTTAATGTTAAACTCAACCTACTATATAATGAAGATTTGAGTTTTCTTACGTATTATTTTTTTTTTTTATAAATACTTTCCACAGAATTTGGTCGCAACTTGTCTTCAACCTGTAGTGTCGATACGTCTTAAAGAATTCGGTAGCGACTATATATATATATATATATATATATATATATATATATATATATATATATATATATATATATATATATATATATATATATAATTTGGTATTTGCATGAATTCCTAATTCGATCTACATGTTTCTATTGTGTTCATGAAAGACTTCTTATAGGTTTATATTTATAGTATCATATTTTGGTTATTTTAAGAGTAAATCATCTTATTAGTTTTCAGAGTTTAATCAAAATTTCTTTCAATTAGGTGGATAACTATTTTTCTAGTTTTAATTTTAAAATAGACTTTACATGTTTGGACTTAAATTTATACTCGTTTAAACATTATATACATGATATATATTAAATTTGGGGCAATTTCAATGTTGCACTTGCAATTCTAATGGTTTAAATAATCAAGATATATATACCCTCATGAAATTTTAAACTAGTAATGTATTTCTTGGTTTACATATCTTTTACATGAAAACATTTACTAATTCTTTAATATCTATAAAACAAAAACAAAACAATTTTTTTTTCAAATATTAATAACAAGAAAGATAGTCAATAACAACTATATGTTATCTACTTGATACCTTTACCTGTTTCGACAGAAAAATGGTGAAGAATTTTTATATATTAGAAGAAGAGCTTAATACTTTGTGGCTTACAAGAGAGAGAGAGAGAGAGAGAGAGAGAGAGAGAGAGACTTTAAAAAAGGTCTCATATTCAAATAATATGCAAAATGTAATTGTTTGATTAAGATGTGAAATACTAGATTGAGACGATGCCAACCACTATATTAAGTATAGTGTCCATATTGTAACAGACCATTACAATGTATAATCCTAATTAGTCACAATAAATGCAATATATAGTAACGAAAGCCATAACTATATTTACTAAGTAGTATTACCGTTTCTATTTATATGTTTATGTATAAAGTACCTAGATGGATAAATTACAATGCATTATTATAACACGCTAATACTAATATTTGATGAAATGAAGTCTATTTTCTTCATTATTGTTCTCGTTTCAAGCCTTGTTTCAATGGCTATTGCAATTCCAGGCACTGCCACCTTTTACCAACAATATACTCGTAAGTGTTTAGTCTTTAACTCGCTAAAAATGGTTAACCATTACGATTACATGATATGTACACATATAAACATATACATACTTTAATATATAAGCATACACGTTTATGGAATATGGAGTGGATCTATAAGAAGTATATATATATATATATATATATATATATATATATATATATATATACATATATATATGAAATAAGTATTTTAGTTGCTGACATATGTAACTTCTGTAAATAACTTTTGAAATAGCATCTGCATGTTATGGGAGCACCCCAGAGGGAGTGATGATTGCCGCAGCAAGTGATCCTTTGTGGGATGGAGGTGCCATTTGCGGAAAGATGTTCACAGTTAAATGCACCGGTGCCACAAATGTAGTCCCTCACCCATGCTATGATGGTAAAACAGTCACTGTTAAAATTGTTGATCATTGTCCAGGTTGTGGCGGAACCCTAGACCTTTCTAAAGAAGCATTTGAATCCATTGCCAACCCTATCGCTGGAGTTATCAAAATTGAGTATTGGTAGTTGAATTACTAACGAAGGACCATATAATTAACACTTGGATTATTTCTTGTTTTATTGTTTTTGGATCAATAATAAGCTATGACATTTTGAAATCAACGAGAGTTAGTATTACTATGTGAATAAAAAGGTTTGGATTTAAACGTAATATTTTGTTTCAATTCCGCTACTTTTATAATTATTCTGAATTTGTTTCCTCTTACGCATTTTTCTTTATTTTGAACGAAAAACTGCACTCAATGGATTATTCTTCAAGGCTCCGTCACTATTCTAGATGAGATTTTAAAACTAGGACATATAGATTGATAAACGGAACAATGTCTATCCTTAACACTCTTTAAATTTTATATTTGGTGGTAACATTTTATTCCATGGAATCTCTAACACGAAACATAATTCATTTTTTTTCATGGATTTTTAGAATCCATTTCATCTAAATATCATTTGTTACCTTAAGAATATTTTAAAATACCAAATATGTTACATTTTTTCCATTAACACCAATCGTTTTTTTGTATGAATTTGTTCTTTCCATTTTAATTAATGCATCTTTCCTTTATTATTTATACAATATAGAAAACATACTACATGAATAAGAGGCTTCAAAGATGGAAATTGCAATAGACGCGTTTACGTAGAAACAACTATGAAGTGTTCATTCAATTGGTTTTAGAATATAATTATAATATTTATGACAATGAATCAACATCACAATTCTCAAGACGACCATCCCTCACATTTCGAACACAACTCGTTGGCCTCTATGCACAGTTCCTCTTTAAAGAAATTAATCTATCCAATACGATAACGTGTACTAGTAAATAAACATTTTAAAGTAAGCCACACTGAAGATACGACCACCCTCCTGATTCCAATACCACTAGTCCCATGATGAATGGCAAGGTAGTAATTTTGATGTGTGAATAATCCGTTATGTACCACTTCCAATTCAATCCCTCCATCAATCTACCTCTACCAACTCCGTATTTAATAATTGTCATGCAAGAATTCAACAATGTATTTTTTTCTATCAAGAGAATCAACAAATGCGAGGCCACCACAATTTCAAGGAGTTTCTATCGCAACATTTTCCAACCGAATATTTAGTATTACCACCTTTTCCAACTTCTTTAGATATCAATGAGAAGGAATTAATATCATTTTTTTTGAAATACAATCTTACCACCTCTAATCCTATGCAACTATGCTATAGTCTAGTTTATTTCAAATTTTGTTGACAAATGAAACACTCTAACAATACAAGTGATTACCAAACTATTCTTGGTACTACGATATCTAATAGGAAGGGCATGATCCATGTAAAAATTATGGGATATGTTAGCTTATTCATCATCATTTTAAATTTCCTTTAATACATGATTCCATTTGATATTCAATAGTGAAACACTAGCCCTTTCAATTACAATGATAAACAAGAAAAGGAAATCGGTTCTACTTCCTTGAGAGCGCAAATACGAATAATTTATTTATTTGGGGCAAAATTAATAAGAATTGAAATAAACCATAAGGTCACGCTTTAATCCACACGTGCTGAGTATCACCAAACCGCATAGGCATTACAACATGGATAAGAAAAATCCACTTTATATAGTCGTATGCTTGTCTATTTCTACTTTATGGACCATCACGTTCCTTTTCCTATGTTTACACCAATCTAGGATTCTATTAACAATAATCGGCTCACCCTTTGCATTCATTTAATTATCAAACTTTTTTTTCTTCTCTAGATGCAACGACCCTCTCCAAGTTAATGTTTGTGACACCCCAAAACCGAGAACGGCAGAATACGTTATGGGGTGGAGGATGTCATGTACAATATCATAACAATTGCATAATCATAAAAACAAGCGACAACAACCATTGCATTAATATAGTAATTGTAAGTACAAACGTGTTCTGTACAGTTAATAGACACCAAAAGTATAACAAAAATAGAAAATGGGTCTTGTATATGCTCCATCTTCTCGAAAGCTGCACCAGTACCTATCTATCTTTGACCTGAGGATACAAGTTATTTTGAAAATGAGTATCAACATAAACCTCGTGAGTTCATAAGATTTTAGTGTCCTTGCTTGTATAAAAGTGTTTACAATTATGTAATATAAAAGTTGAAATAAATGTTGAGAGTAGTAGAAATCCCTAAAAAATCCTATATTTTCCAGAATTGTATATTTGTAAGTTAAATCCTGAGTGTGTAAAAGTATTTTCATTGAAACTTTCAGTTATAAAAATAAGGTAATAAATTTCATACAAGTAACATAGATGAGTAAAATTATTGTTGGTTGACTGTAGTTGTATTGCAAACTTCAATATATATTTATTTACTTCGGGAAATTAGCTTAGACTTTAAGTCTTAGTGTGTTAATTTGGATATGGATGTGATTTCTCATGTAACCAAACTGAGTGATTATAGAGGGCCCGATGACCTTCCCTGTCATCCGTAGTGTAGTGATGTAGTGCCACCCCTGATCCTAGTCAGCACGGACTGTAGTTATCAGTCAGGATGTAATAGTGTCTGTCCTGTATAGATCTATACATGTAGTGTTGCTTTGCTTCCGAGAAGCCCTGTTTACATGGTATTTGCATAGTAGAGTGTCGTATAGAGAGATAGTCTGTCACGTTCTAAATTAGTGTATTCTCTTGTAATATAATATAGTGACCTTTTAGTATAGTATATATAGAGTGTTCTCTTTAACATGTATTAACTTGTATTAGCAGAAATTATAGTGGGTATCATAGTGATAGAGGTAATGAGCAGTAGTCTTAACTATACCTATTATATTTAATTAGAGTGTCAAGTTGCATGCTTTTGATTTACAAAGGTATTAAATAAGATGAAGACTTTCATATCTAACACAAATATATATATATATATATATATATATATATATATATATATATATATATATATATATATATATATATATGATATATAACTAAGAAATCAACGACAGTCGGACGATATCAATATACACTAAGACCACAATCAAACAAGAACAGGAAATAAGGTGAGTTATCGGTCCTAAGTCCTTCAAGTATTAGTTATATAAATATATTGGTGTAGATATAGTTTAAAAGAAATCAGTTTAAACACAGTTTGAAAATAGTTTAACAACAATTTAACCTAGAAAAAGCATTTGATAGTTATTTAAAACAGTTTTATTGACAAATAGCTAAAAATATAGAAAATCCTTTTTAGTTGTGAGTTAATAATCACATATGATTTGATAATAAAACTTGATGCATTTAACTTGTATCCCCCCCCCCCCCCTAAAACATCTAAAACATTTGAAAAGGTTAATTAAGGGGTATGAACTCACATGTAACGAGTAGATCGGGTGGAAGTGTCGGATGAGCGTTTGGTGTCAAGTAAAGACTTGTACACACTCTATGACCCTAGTAACATATGAAGACATATGTTTACAAGTAATTAGTGATTATGACCCTAATTAAACACATATAGATATCCTAATGCGAAGAAAAGCTCTATGGTTGCAAGGAAGGAGGTTTAGGCCTCACTATGGAGTTTACTCCTCACATACTCACTTTGGGTGAGTTTACGGCTGAGGGAACACTTCCCCCATGAGTTTACGGCCGTAAACACATGGGAGGAGTGAATTTGTGTGTTTGCAAGTCTCTTGTGTCACTAGGAAGGGTTCCAAGGTAAATTCCAAGACTTGAGGGGTGTTTAGGGTTCAAAAGGGAGAGTTTGCGGTCCTAGGACCACTCCTTGGAAGTTTACGGTCGTGAACCCCATCGTTTACGGCCGTAAACCCTTGGATACCCCTTATACTTCGTTTTTTAGGTCCTTAGCGTACTCCTAAAAGTTTCTATGTGAAGGTCCAAGGCTAAATAAGGGGTTAAAGGCTCAATTTGCATAGTTTGAGGGAGTTTACGCCCTAAGGGTGTTCTTGGGCCATAAACCCTCTTTTAAGCCTCTAAACATAAGATTTAATGTCTAAAACACTTCTAGGGTATGTTCTATGTTAGCCTCTAAGCCTAAGGAAGAGTTTTGCGGGCATTTTGGCACACTTTTAGGGGTTTACGGCCTAAGAGTGTTCTTGGGCCGTAAAAGCCTTACTCTTCGCCTTTTTAGATGACTTTCAAGCTATAAAGACATTTAATGAGTTGTAGAGCAATCTAGGGTAAGAGTACTTACAGTTTGGAAGCGGAAACTTGCGGATTTTGGAAGAATCAGGCCTTGAAGAAAGAGAGAGAGAGAGTAGAGAGAGAGTGACTAGAGTGGTAAAAAGTCTAACTTGGTGTCTACTCAACCCTTATATAGGGTTTGAGTTTGTGGCCAGGTGGATTTCTACCCGATACAGACGTTAAACGGGGCTTATGGTCGTACCCGATTAAATGGTCGCATTTTAACTTGTTTGTAACTAAAACTTTTTAAAAGAATATTGAGGGTGTTTCCCCACATTCCTAGTTTATTCCAATCCTTATGAAGTCATAATAAAAGTTCAAATTTTAATTTGCCTGATCCCAATGTTAACTGAAAAGTTTAATAAGAACGAGTTCTATTAACGGAAAACGGGTTACGGTGACGGAATAATTTCAGGTTGTCACAATGTTAAACTAAACCTACTATATAATGAAGATTTGAGTTTTGTTACGTCTTACTCTTTTTTTTATATATACTTCCTAGAGAATTCGGTCGCAACTAGGGTTCAACCTTTGGTGTCGATACATCTTAAAGAATTCGGTAGAGACTATATATATATATATATATATATATATATATATATATATATATATATGTATGTATATATATATATATATATGTATATATATATATATATATATATATATATATATATATATATATATATATATAATTTGGTCTTTGTCATGAATTCCTAATTTGGTCTATATGTTTCTATTGTGTTCATGAAAGACTTATTATAGTTTATATTTATAGTATCATATTTTGGTTATTTTAAGAGTAAAGTATCTTATTAGTTATCAGAGTTTAATCAAAATTTCTTTCAATTAGGTGGATAACTATTTTTCTAGTTTTAATTTTAAAATAGACATTACATGTTTGGACTTAAATTTATACTCTTTTAAACATTGTA